AGAAGTAATAGGAAGCTGGCAGATAATAGAGCGGGAGTTGTAGTGGGGGGAGGGGTTGGCTGAGCGGACTGGTATTTTTACGCATCATCAGAGTTTAATAATTTAATCTGCTGGTGGCTTCCGCGGTAGCCTGGGTACGAGCCCAGTGCCTTTGATGTTGTGGTTTGTCGGAGCGAGTCAAATCAGAATAACGAGCTCAAGATTGTCCAACAAAGTGAAAGGCGCTCGAGCGAAATCCGGCTGGATGCCGGAAGTTTGTCGATGGAGTTTTTCTCTCCTAGGGTTGGGGACAGCATGCCTCCTTGCGCTCTACACCTTTCTCCGTCCAGACTTCCGTATGATTTTGACCGAGGCCAGCGTCGAGCGGAAGGAGTACCAGGTCATTGGTTTCGGGACGTTCACTGACAACAGAGTGGACGTAGCGGCGGAGTCTGCAAGACGAATCACCAGATCCAGCTCATCGGGGTTGTCAGCAAACACGGGATTGGAGAGGAAAGATGATGAAGGTCGTAGGTTCGCATATGATGATGATGATGATGATGATGATGACGGAAGGAGAAGATCGATACAGAAGAAGAACGACTTGGTATCTGATCCGGCGTTGCTTCAAGGGGCAAATTCGACGCATTCTTCTTCTTCTTCTTCTTCTTCTTTGTCTTCTTCTACCTCAACCTCTACCTCCGCCTCCTCAACGGCAGGCGATGTTCTGGACTTGCGTGCCGGCGGTCGGGGATTTGAAGAAGAGGGCGGTGGTTCCACCAATGAGGAGAAGGAATTGGCAATTCAGGTGGAGGCATTGAAATTGGCATGGGAAAAAGTCTACCTTCGTAGGGACAACAAAGATTCTTCTCAGGATGATGGCTCGCAGCAATCTTCGCTCCCGCGCTTTTCTTCGTCGGACAATAGTACTTTCCCTTGCCCGTCTTCTCCAATGGTGTTAGAGTACACCAAGCGGCTGTTGATGGAGGCAGGCAAACTGCCCTCGGCTCCTCACATTCAGGACTGTAAGGCTTTGTCGGACGAGTACGCGGCGGCGGACCGAAGAGGCGTCAACAACTCCCTCCCTGATTGGATGAGAGGGGCGGGATTAGGGTACTCTGCATTCGGCAATCAAAGCGTGCCTGAAGAATGGATAGATCGCTCGGAGGAATTGCTCAGGGACAGTAAGAGAACGATCTTCGGACCGTATCCTCCTTGGGTAAGCATCATATATATAGCTCTGCTTTTTTTTACAAGTCTTCTCCTCCTTCCCCTCCCTCCCCTCCTTAGTCCTCTTCCCCCCCATCCCCCCTTTCCACCTGGATGCTCTCTTTTTGTCTTCGTGTCCGTTCTCTTTTTCTGCTCTCTAATCCGTTTCGCTTCTCATACGCTCCTCCTTTGAGGTCGTCGCTGTTCCCTCTGCTTTTCATCCAATCGTTTTATTTTATTTTAATTTTACAAAAAAAAAGAGGTCCTTATGGTCCTGGCTCCATATCCCTTCTTCTCTGGACCGTCAGTCCGGTTCCTATTCCTAGGGCAAGTCAAACATCATTCCCTCACTCACGCACCCTTCCGTCCGGCCCAAGGGGCTTTTCATCCAATCATTACATCTCTAATGATTACATCTCTAATGATTACATCTCAATCTGGCTGGCGCCTTTTGCTGTCTTCTTATTTGTCGTTCCTCCCGCTCTCTTTCGTCTGTCTTGTTCCCCTCCCTTTTCCGTCTACTTACTAGTATTATTTTTTTTTCCTTGCGTCAGTCGTATTTATTATTTTCTTCTCTGACATCCTCGTCTGTCTCCTCAACTCGTCATTAGCTCTTTTATCTTCTTGTTAAAAACGTAAGTATATCATGACAAAGTAAATTAATAAATGAATTAAGTTCAATAAACAATATTTCTCCTTTTTTCCGTTCGTCTTCCTTTCTCCTTGTCAATTGACCTGTGAGAGAGTTCATTGGATCAAAGGGGATTCGTAACCTTTTTTTTTTTTTTTTGGGGGGGGGTGGCGGGATTTGTACTTGCTCTTTTCAAGTGAATTTTTTTGTTCGAAAAGCAAGCGTTGACCTTTTATTTTTCTTCGTCTTCCTTAATCCAGCCTCGGCGTGGTTGGAGACACCCAAATTTACGAACTCGAAATGGGGACCCCTCTGCCTGTCGTGAAAGGGGGTCCACTGGGAAGGACCAACCCTTGGTCAACCCCCAACCTGTCTTTCGCTTTCTCCTCGACTGACGCGATGCTCCTTTTTTTCACTCGTTTTTTTTTTTTCCCGGCGTATGGGTCGGTGGCCGGGCTAACCCTTCACCCGTCGTAAAATGTACGATACTTCTTTTTCCTATTTATAACCTTTCTGGGGGGGGGGGGGGGGGGGGGGGGGGGGCCATTTGTAATTTGTTTTTTTGAATTGAAAACTCGTTTTTGAAAAGCAAGTGTTGGGCATTTTTAAGTTTCCTCTTCTTTTATCGTTCCCTTTCTCTCCGTCTTTTTTTTTTTTTTTTTTTTTTTTTGGGATCTCTCCTTCTTGTCACTTCGCTATAACTGACGAACTGACGTGATGCTGCTTATTCCCTGTACGCCTGCCATTCGTCCTTTCGCCCTATATCTCGTCTCATTAAATTTTCCTTCCTTTTTGTGTATGCGAACTTTTTTTTTATTTTAAGAGTAATAAATAATTATATGGACCCTTTTCCAATTGTGCGTGCCATCTTCGCACGGGCCATGCTAATCTTCTCCGTGTCGTTTCAATATTAATAATGAATGTCCCGGGCCGAGGTCCGACTAGCAAAAACAGAGAGGATTGGATTAAGCTCCTGAATCTGGATGTGTTTTCTGCAGAGATGCAGAAAAGCAGTTCAATCACGATTTTCTGCACCTCTCCACAAAAGCGTCCAGATTCGGGCATTCAGTCCAGTCCTCTTTTTTGGTAGTGCGACCTCGCCCTCCCGAAGGACATGGTAATTGCGTTCGTTTTTCTTTTTCGTCCGACTTTCTTTTACGTTTCCCTCTCCTTTTTTTTTCTTTTTTTTTTTACGTTTCTCCTTTCACTCCATGTGAGCTATTTTTTTCTGGCTACCATCTTTTCACCCGAATAGAACGCCTGGTCATTATCGCTGCATCTGGACTGAAAATGGCCCAAATACAGCTATAATGGCCGGGCGTTATATTCGGGTGAGGACGGTAGCGGCACCTACCTAGTTTTAATGTGAGCTATCTTTTTCTGGCTACCGTCCTCACCCGAATAGAACGGCTGGTCATTATCGCTGCATCTGGACTGAAAATGGCCCAAATAGAGCTATAATGGCCGGGCGTTATATTCGGGTGAAGACGGTAGTGGCACCTACCTAGTAGCTTTAATCTAGGCTACCAGAGTGGCCCAGGACCCCACTTGCGCGGCCGGGCCAAAAAACGAAAAACAAAATAACGTTTTTAATTTTAATTTTGAACTTGGTGAAGAATTTCGATGTGACCCTGAGGCAGAAGTTGCTCAGTTTATTTTTCAGCATTTTTTTTTCATTTTTTTTTTCGCTGGGACCTTCTTTGGTCCTTGCACGGCCTGGCCGCCCGGGCAAACAAAATGACCCGGGCGGCCCGGCTGGTAGCCTAGGTTTTAACCCTTTTTTCACCTTCCTTTTTAGAGGACGACGGCCTTGAGATATCATCATTGGAGTGACCGTTCCCAGATTAACTCGGAGTTATTTTAACTCATCTGATTCCGTTATAATTGGAACTCAGGTCTGTATTTCAACGCCGGTATTTTTTAACTCGTCTGATTCCGTTGGTTTACCGTTCTTTTTTTCCCCCCTGTTCCCACCGCCTTCTTGCCCCCCTACCTGACTCTCTCTTTTTTTTTTTTTTTTTTTTTTTCTTCCGACCATATCTAGATTTATGCGTGTCATCCGTGCGCAGGGGCCATGCCGATCTTCTCTCGGGAACATGCTAATCTTCTGTATCGTTCCAATTTTAACGGATGGCCCGAAGGACCCCACCGGACTTGCCCTCTGACTTTGTCTTCTTTCCTTCAATCTCTTGTATTCACTCTTTCCCTAGAGCCTCGCTCCACTACATAACGCTTCTACATGGATTTGGACGCGTTCTGGACCCGGTACGTTCGAAACGTTGGACTTGGCCGGATGCACCCGGTCCAGAAAGCGTCCAAATGCATGGAGAGTGTCGTGTAGCGGAGCCCGGCCCCTATTCTAGTCCCTTCCGGTTTTCCTTTCGGTGTTTTCCTGCACAGCTTACGCATAATCTATTCCGTCTTTCTCCCCACGTAAATTCAATCTTACGCATTATATCCATCTCGTCTTTCTCTGGACCCGATACATTCCAAAAGTTGGACTCGCCCGAATGCACCTGGTCCAGAAAAACGTCCAAATGCATGTAGACTGTTGTGTAGTGGAGCGAGGCCCAACTTCAATCAATCAAGTTCCTCTTAACCTTTCTGACCCCGACGCCTTTCTGACCCCGACGTCTTGTTTCGCCCTTCTTTTCTACACCCTGTGAAGTTGCTCTTCTTTCTTGTTTTTTTCCTCCTTTTTTTTTTTGTTTCCTTGTTGCGCCTCTCTCTGCAGTGGGGTGTTTCTATTTGAGTCTTTTTTTGGTCCGTGTTTTTATTTTCATTTTTTTACCCGCCGGATTCTCCGTTTGTTCTTTTGACGCCGGATTTTCCGCTCTCTTTTACCACCTGTTTTTGCATTCCCCCTTCCCTCTCCGCCTCCGCTCCTCCTCCCCCCCCCCCCCCCCCCCCCCCCCCCCCCCCCCCCCCCCCCCCCCCCCCTTCCCGTGCCCGGCGAATTCTCCCTACGGTTCGGTTGTACGGCCTACTCAATGAGCGCAAAGCAAGGCTGAGCTTAGCCCAAATCGGCCTCAGTCCCCTAACCAGGGGATTTGAGCCTATCCCCTGTAAAAAAAAAAAAAAAA